CAGAAGTCCTACTCATGGCATGCCTCCAATCCTTAACATTAGTCCTACTCATGGCATGGACCTTATCCTTAACATTAGTTTACTGATGGCCTGCCTTCAATTCTTACTATTAGTCCTACTGCTGGCATGCCTCTAATCCTTTACATCAGTCCTACTGATGGCATGCCTCCAATCCATAACATTAGTCCTACTGATGGCATGCAACAAATCCTTAACATAAATCCTTATGATGGCATGCTTCGAATCCTTGATATTTGTCCTACTGATGGCATGCATCCAATCCTTAACACCAATCCTACTGATGGCATGCCTCAAATATTTTATATTAGTCCTACTGATGGCATGCCTCCAACCCTTAACATTAGTCCTACTGATGGCATGCCTCCAATCCCAAAACATTAGTCCTACTGATGGCATGCCTCCAATATTTGATATTAGTCCTACTGATTGCATGCCTTCAATCCTTAACATTAATCCAACTGATGGCATGCATCTAATCCTTAACATTTGTCCTACTGATGGCATGCCTCAAATCCTTAACATTAGTGCCACTGAAGGCACGGATCCAATCCTAAACAGAAGTCCTACTGATGGCATGCCTCCTATCTTTTATATTAGTTCTACTGGGGGCATGCCTATATTCCTTTACATTATTCCACCAGATGGCATGCCTCCAATCCTTAACATAAGTCCTAATGATGGCATGCCTATAATCCTTTACATTAGTCCACCAGATGGCATGCCTTCAATCCTTATAAGAAGTCCTACTCATGGCATGCCTCCAATCCTTAACATTAGTCCTACTCATGGTATACCTCTTATCCTTAAAATTAGTTTACTGATGGCCTGCCTTCAATTCTTACTATTAGTCCTACTGCTGGCATGCCTCTAATCCTTTACATCAGTCCTACTGATGGCATGCCTCCAATCCATAACATTAGTCCTACTGATAGCATCGCTCCAATCCTTAACATTAGTCCTACTGATGGCATGCAACAAATCCTTATCGTAAATCCTTATGATGGCATGCTTCGAATCCTTGATATTTGTCCTACTGATGGCATGCCTCCAATCCTTAACATTTGTCTTACTGATGGGTTGCGTCCAATCCTTAACATAAGTCCTAATGAAAGTATGTCTCCAGTCCTCACTTTTAGTCCTTCTGATTGCATGCCTCCAATCCTTAACATATGTCCTATTGATGGCATGCCTCCAATCCAAAACACTAGTCCTACTGATGGCATGCCTCCAATATTTTATATTAGTCCTACTGATGGCATGCCTCAAATATTTTATATTAGTCCTATTGATGGCATGCCTCAAATCCTTAGCATTAGTCCCACTGATGGCATGGATCCAATCCTAAAAAGAAGTCCTTCTGATGGCATGCCTCCAATCGTAAACATTAGTCCTACTGATGGCATGCCTCCAATCCTAAACATTAGACCTACTGATGGCATGCATCTAATCCTTAACATTTGTCCTACTGATGGCATGCCTAAAATATTTTATTTAAGTCCCACTGATGGCATGCCTCAAATCCTTAACATTAATCCAACTGAAGGCATTCATCGAATCCTTAACATTTGTCCTACTGATGGCATCCCTCAAATATTTTATATTAGTCCTACGGATGGCATGCCTCCAATCCTTAACATTAGTCCTTCTGATGGCATGCCTCCAATCCTAAACATTAGTCCTACTGATTGCATGCCTCCAATCCTTAACATTTGTCCTACTGATGGCATCCCTCAAATATTTTATATTAGTCCTACGGATGGCATGCCTCCAATCCCTAACATTAGTCCTACTGATGGCATGCCTCCAATCCTAAACATTAGTCCTACTGATTGCATGCCTCCAATCCTTAACATTTGTCCTACTGATGGCATCCCTCAAATATTTTAAATTAGTCCTACGGATGGCATGCCTCCAATCCTTAACATTAGTCCTGCTGATGGCATGCCTCCAATCCTTAACATTAGTCCTGCTGATGGCATGCCTCCAATCCTTAACATTAGTCCTACTGATGGCATGCCTCCAATCCTTAACATTAATCCAACTGATGGCATGCATCTAATCCTTAACATTTGTCCTACTGATGGCATGCCTCAAATATTTTATATAAGTCCTACTGATGGCATGCCTCAAATCCTTAACATTAGTCCCACTGAAGGCACGGATCCAATCCTAAACAGAAGTCCTACTGATGGCATGCCTCCTATCTTTACTATTAGTCCTACTGGTGGCATGCCTATATTCCTTTACATTAGTCCACCAGATGGCATGCCTTTAATCGTTAACATAAGTCCTAATGATGGCATGCCTATAATCATTTACATTAGTCCACCAGATGGCATGCCTCCAATCCTTAACATAAGTCCTAATGATGGCATGCCTCTAATCCTTTACATTAGTCCACCAGATTGCATGCCTTCAATCCTTATAAGAAGTCCTACTCATGGCATGCCTCCAATCCTTAACATTAGTCCTACTCATGGTATACCTCTTATCCTTAACATTAGTTTACTGATGGCCTGCCTTCAATTCTTACTATTAGTCCTACTGCTGGCATGCCTCTAATCCTTTACATAAGTCCTACTAATGGCATGCCCCCGATCCATAACATTAGTCCTACTGATAGCATCGCTCCAATCCTTAACATTAGTCCTACTGATGGCATGCAACAAATCCTTAACATAAATCCTTATGATGGCATGCTTCGAATCCTTGATATTTGTCCTACTGATGGCATGCCTCTAATCCTTGACATCAATCCTACTAATGGCATGCCTCCAATCCTTAACATCAATCCTACTGATGGCATGCCTCCAATCCTTAACATTTGTCCTACTGATGGCATGCGTCCAATCCTTAACATAAGTCCTAATGAAGGTATGTCTCCAGTCCTCACTATTAGTCCTTCTGATTGCATGCCTCCAATCCTTAACATATGTCCTATTGATGGCATGCCTCAAATATTTTATATTAGTCCTACTGATGGCATGCCTCAAATCATTAGCATTAGTCCCACTGAACGCATGGATCCAATCCTAAAAAGAAGTTCTTCTGATGGCATGCCTTCAATCCTAAACATTAGTCCTACTGATGGCATGCCTCCTATCCTAAACATTTGTCCTACTGATGGCATGCCTCCAATATTTTATATTAGTCCTAATGATGGCATGCCTCCAATAGTTTATATTAGTCCTAATGATGGCATGCCTATAATCCTTTACATTAGTCCACCAGATGGCATGCGTTCAATCCTTATCAGAAGTCCTACTCATGGCATGCCTCCTATCCTTAACATTAGTCCTACTCATGGCATGGATCTTATCCTTAACATTAGTTTACTGATGGCCTGCCTTCAATTCTTACTATAAGTCTTACTGCTGGCATGCCTCTAATCCTGTACATAAGTCCTACTGATGGCATCGCTCAAATCCATAACATTAGTCCTACTGATAGCATCGCTCCAATCCTTAACATTAGTCCTACTGATGGCATGCATCTAATCCTTAACATAAATCCTTATGATGGCATGTTTCGAATCCTTGATATTTGTCCTACTGTTGGCATGCCTCCAATCCTTAACATAAGTCCTGATGATGGCATGCCTCCAATCTTTAACATAAGTCCTACTGATGGCATGCCCCCAATCCGTAACATTAATCCTATTGATGGCATGCCTCCAATCTTTAACATTAGTCCTACTGATGGCATGCCTCCAATCCTTTACATTAGTCCTACTGATGGCATTATTCCAATCATTAACATTGGTCCTACTGATGGCATGCCTCCAATCCTTTACATTAGTTCACCAGATGGCATGCCTCCAATCCTTAGCATAGGTCCTTATGATGACATGCCTCCAATCTTTAACATAAGTCCTACTGATGGCATGCCCCCAATCCGTAACATTAATCCTACTGATGGCATGCCTCCAATCCTTAACATAAGTCCTTATGATGGCATGGTTCCAATCTTTAACATTAGTCCTACTGATGGCATGCCTCCAATCCTTTACATATGTCATACTGATGGCATGCTTCCAATCCGTAACATTAGGCCTACTGATGGCATGCCTCCAATCCTTAACATTAGTCCTGCTGATGTCATTATTCCAATCATTATCCTTAACATTTGTCCTACTGATGGCATGCCTCCAATCCTTAACATTAGTCCTGCTGATGGCATTATTCCAATCATTAACATTTGTCCTAATGATTTCATGCCGCCAATTCTTTACATAAGTCCTACTGATGGCATGCCTCAAATCCTAAATTTTAGTCCTACTGATGGCATGCCTCCAATCCTAAACATTAGTTCTACTGATGGCATACCTCCAATCCTAAATTTTAGTCCTACTGATGGCATGCCTCCAATCCTAAATTTTAGTCCTAATGATGGCATGCCTCCAATCCTAAACATAATTTTAACTAATGTCATGCCTCCAATCCTTTACATTAATCCTGCTAACTGCATGCCTCCAATCCTTAACATTAGTCCTACAGATGGCATGCCTCAAATCCGTAATATTAGTCCTACTAATGGCATGCCTCCAATCCTAAACATAAATTTAAATAATGGCATGCCTTCAAATCCTTTACATTAGTCCTACTGATGGCATTATTTCAATCATTAACATTAGTCCTACTGATGGCATGCATCCAATCCTTAGCATTAGTCCTACTGATGGCATGCTTTCAATCCTAAACATTAGTCCTACTGATGGCATGCATCCAATCCTTAGCATTAGTCCTACTGATGGCATGCTTTCAATCCTAAACATTAGTTCTACTGATGGCATGCATCCAATCCTTAGCATTAGTCCTACTGATGGCATGCTTTCAATCCTAAACATTAGTCCTACTGATGGCATGCATCCAATCCTTAGCATTAGTCCTACTGATGGCATGCTTTCAATCCTAAACATTAGTTCTACTGATGGCATGCCTCCAATCCTAAATGTTAGTCCTACTAATGTCATGCCTCCAATCCTTTACATTAATCCTACTAACTGCGTGCCTTCAATCCTTAACATTAGTCCTACAGATGGCATTCCTCAAATCCTTAATATTAGTCCTACTGATGGCATGCCTCCAATCCTAAACATAAATTTAACTAATGGCATGCCTCCAATCCTAAACATAAATTTAACTAATGGCATGCCCTCAATATCTTTACACTAGTCCTATCGATGGCATGCCTTCGACAGATGCAACAATAAGTGTGGTATCCTTAGGACTGAAAATTACTGGTTCAAATTTACAAAATAATTGTTTATTAAAGATTTAAGTAATTGGCCAATTTATTTTCTCAATGCATACTTTCTTTATTCTGATGAATTATTCAATCTTTAAATTTCGATTGTATTGTTATAGTGGTAACTAGACTCTTAATCTGTTACTCCTGACCACATACCTGTCTGTTCCTGTAAGTGAAGGTAACTGGTTCCCACCATCAATATCAAATGAGGGGCGTGGCATTGCAATCAGTCTCATACATAAAAAATCCTGACATAAAATATCTGCTGAAAGGTTGATTTTTATTGTTGTTAAATAAGGTTGTTGGTGGAACTTAATCACTGACATGTTTGTTAACGACGGGGAGCAGATATATTTCTTACCTGGATACTTTACAGGTGATCCATAAATATCTACATTACCTTTATAGGCATTTAAGAGACTGGTCGATTTCATGATTAAATATATGGGGATTACCTACCATTTTCCCCTATTGTAATATTTCTACCATTGCGATATCTGTTTTGGGCATTGCATTCTTTTGTCACACAAATCTTTCGAAATAAACATTAACGACTACTCTATATCTTAAGCCTCAGTCACACATTCAGGATTTCTACTGCCGTTCGTGATAGGACCACTCCCGATTAAAATTTGTCCGTATGATTCGTGGCGAGAAACTCACAAATTTGTGAAAACATTTATTTAATTACGACAACAATCCGATATTGTTCAGGAAGCGTACCGATTCAGCCGTTTCCAGCCGAATTCGTCCCGATTCTTCCGTTCACAATCCGAATCTGATCCGATTTGTAACTTCCGCATGGTAAAAAACGACCGAATCTGTCCCGACAGCGTCCCGATCCTCCCGAACGCGATCCGACATAAATCAGACAGTGACCGGACAGTGAACCGACGCATTCGGCAAGATCTGGACGCAATCTGGACTTAATCGGCTAGAAACGGCAATGAACAATTTCTCCAAATCTTGCCCGTTCATCACGACAGCGTCCCGATCCACACGAAACCGTCAAGACACCGTCCAGGCGACACAGGATATTGTTACGATTTTGATCCGATACAGCAGAATATGTCACGACATAGTCACGATTGTTATCCGACTAGACAAAATCGGCTGAGTTTCCCGAATGTTACGGGACGCGCCTAACTGTCGGGAGTGCTTGCCCGACCTCTCCGGACCATCCCGATCCTTAGGACTCTGTTACGAACGTTTGCGACTGCGTTCAGACAATGATAGGACATTCCAGATCATTGAGGATAGTAATTCGACTTTTCCGCTTTTCATGTCGTAACGCTGTCTGATCTCAAACGGGAGCCATAATCGGCACTGTGTGAACGCCGCATAAAACGGAGACATTTTCCCCGTGACTAATTCACATCATTGCTGTCTGTAATTAAATCTAAGGGTGACCCATAGTGATAAGGATATGACATACTGCATTATGTATTTACCCCTCCTGCAACCAAGGTCTCCCAGGCTTGTCCACATCCAAAATACATATTATTAATAACTTGTTGAGTTATCAATAACAATTCTGATAAATAATACCAATCAAAGAAATATTATCCTTGATATTATAGTATTTTGAAAATAATGTTCCCATGTCTATTTTTTTATTTTAATTTTCTATAACAATGACACACAACTTGTCTGATTCAGCACTGATACAGTGGAATATGACTTGTCTGACTCAGCACTGA